ACAAACCCAGATAAACCCTGCCCTCGGGAAAAGGCAGCAAAGGGGGTGCCATGCTGCGCTGCTTTAGAGAAGAGGAAGAGAAAACTAGAGGTGCACGTAAAAATCTATTCATATATGAATCGCGATTCTGTCTTCTAACGATTCTATTGGATTCACAAGTTTCGAAATCAATGTTCTAAAGCAGCGGTTCTTAATACTGTTCCTCGCGTCCCCCTGCTCTGCACACGCTCTGCATCTCTCTCTCTCTCTCATTCAGCTCACCTCCAACAATGAACTGTTACAATTATACACTTATTTTCACGTAGCTATGAGAAGCGTTAAACATGGACGCACGTGCAGTTGCCGTATTGTATTAAAACTTTAATCAGGATAAAACTGTATATTAAAAGCTAACATAAGCAGTAGCATTTACAAATAACTTATGTGAAAAATAATGCGTTTTTTAAAAAAACGAAGCATTAACACATGTTAGACTGCACCCCATAAACACAATCAAGCCTAGAAAAAACCCAGTGAACCACCCCTTTAAGAATTACATTTACAAAATTGATAGGATCAATTTTTATTTCATTCCAACTTCACAGAGGAAGCAAAAGGAACCTTTGCTATAATCTATTGCTATTTTTTTAATATGGTACTAGATGATGATGATCAGACTCAAAATAAGTGAAAACAATTAAATATTCAATACCGATAAATTAAAGAAATTACTATATTGGCTAATAACCAATATGGTACAAATATATTATAAACCCATGGTGATTTCCCAATCAAGCTTCATGTTTTTGTCAGTCCAGTCCCTGCTAAAGGCAGAATGCCTTGCCAAACCACACTAATCGAGAATCGGGTATCGTATCGTATGTCATGTTAGTGTAGGGCAGCCACACCTTTCGGTTTGCTCAGCCAGGTGAGTCAGTGTTGAAACATCAGGTGGGGCTGACACACACACACACACACACACAAAGATCTGTTAAGCATTTACAAGAAAAGCGGATGGTACAATGAACTCCAGTGCAATGTTTTGGCAAACCTGAATGACTTGACTTGGGCCAGGTTCATAACTAAGGGGTTGGTCTGGATACGACCATCTGTTATCACAGCTAGCCGTTGCAGTAAGCTAGTTTTTGTGCGTTTCATATAGGTATTTGCAACCAGACTTGGTAGCGTATGCAAACTTCTACCAAACAGAACCATCTGGTTTTGTCTTCAAAGCAGCAAAACGGTGGTGATGTGTATTGTCTTCCACATTCAAAAGTCTGAGACCGTTCCAGTAAAAGGAAGAAGCAAAGGAAATGGCCTTTGTCTTCCTCCTCCAAAAACGATGACTGTGATGTCATAAAGGAAAGGCCAGCAGTAGCAGCTTTACTGAATGAGACCCCTGTGCCCCCCTTCATCCTGAAGTCACGTAATGACCATTGTGCTCATGAGTATTTTTGGGCTGAGAGCTAAAAGCATCTCACTCAAGAAGCTTGAGAGAATTCGGTGTCAGTCTTTCATGGAGCGCAGCTCCCTCTGAGAGGTGAGGAGGGAGGTGCCAGCAGCCAGTTCTCAAAGTCAAATATTGATTGGTTGCCTAGCAACTGATTCCCAGTGAGTCCTGGAAGGACAGGCCTGATTGCAGTCATAGCAACATTGCCTACCCAGGAAGTGAAAAATAACTTCCTGATGGTGTCACACTGCAAGTTTTGTATCACTTTAGAGTTGCTCGCAGCCAGCTGCTTCATTACCTTATTAAAGGTAATCTGGTACATGTTATTTTTTTATCAGAACAATTGTCATTTTATGATTTGTTGCCATGGGAATAAATAGTGTTGATTTGATTTTCTTATCTTTATTAAATTAAATTTTTTTTTATTTAAATTTTTTTATCTTTATAGCCAACATAATGAAGTGGCAGCTTGAAATGAAATGAAAATAAGATGTGATTTTGAAAAAACTCTTCGATAAGTGTTTATTAGCACTCTATCAATCATTAGGTCTTTGGTGAGGCCCTACCATCCCTTTCTGAAATTGACTGGATGAAAAGTCATTCCACAGACCATCAGAGTTCTCCTGGATCTGAAAGCATGAGACCCTTTTGGAATCCTGAAGATGTACTTTAAAGGGATAGTTTGGTCTTTTAAAATTTGGTCATTATTGACTGACAAGCTCTGAAAAGGACATATATACTATAATATAAGTATCTCTTGAAGTCATACAATAAGTTTGTGTGAGGAACAGTCTTAATGTGTTAACACTTTTAAATGTACCAAATGTACTGGATTAAAAGAGTAAATGATACATTTATTTAGTTCTGGATCCATTTAGTTCTGGACTCGTTTCCGACTCCTGTACGGAACTGAACATAGCTCCTGAGATGGGAAGAACCAGGTGTGCTTGAACATTTTTTCCAACCAAGGTTCATATGGCAGCGTTAACTTTTATTCAAATGAACCGCACTAACAGAGCAATCGCACTAGAGTTAATTTTAATCGAACCAAATCTGCCAAGTGTAATTGCACCCTGAGACATTGTGCGCTGATGGTTTAACCTTGCCCTGAAGTTCATGTCTAGCCCGCGATCTGCAAAATTCCGGAGCGGGTCGAATTTGGGTCTTTCCCTCACACAATTTGTTTTATGACTTCAGAAGACTTAAAAAAAATAGTGCTATAGAACTTTATTTTATTTATTTATTTTTAGGTATTTTATTAAAACTTAACAGGCTGCCAATGCCAAGAGCTGCGTAACAATTCTTAAACTTTTACTTGTTCATTAGAAAATAACAGAATGTTAGAGTCGGTCACTTCTCCTTGCTCTCATTTTTGAACATCCTTTCTGCCATTCTTCAGAACACATTCCACCTTCTCTCACATGACCACACAAAGTAATGAAGAATCATGTGATTTTTTTTTTTTGTATTGGTCTCAGTGGTTCATTGTGAGTGGCATGATTGCGCAGGCAACTGAATGGATGAACTGAAATTCATAATGTTACATGTGAGGTCCGCTTGTGATCAGATGTAAATATTTATATATTTTGGTCACACAGCTCCAATTTTCAGTTTCAACTTAAACCAGTTCAGTGACCTTCTGTTTGCCTCCAAGACAGCAGTAAAGTGTGCACTAGAGAACTGAAAGCACCATTCCCAGTGCATTACAGTGTTGTGTAATTGCACATTGGACACAGCACAATGTGAAGTAGAAGTCATTTAATGTTTGTATGTGTTGCTATAGGGTTATCAGTATATGTCCTACTTTTGAAGTCATTTCTGTTTACATCCCTCTCTGTGGCAGTGCAGTCAGCTGAATAAGCGTTCATGCGCTTTAAATAAGGCATGGAATGTGTACACAGCGCCCCCTTGGAGAACTAACCAAAATGTTTCCTGAGCTCTATTAGATATAGGCACGTTGTCATTTGATGATTTAAAGGGGTGGTTCACTGTTTTTTTTTCTAGGCTTGATTGTGTTTATGGGGTGCAGTCTAACATGTGTTAATGCTTCGTTTTTTAAAAAAACGCATTATTTTTCACATAATTTACCTTTATTCCACACCGCTCTGTCCCTTCTCTGAGAAACGGGCTGATCTTTTCCTGTTTTTATGAAGCCCCTCCCTCAGAAATACGATGGGCTCTGATTGGTTAGCTAGCCCAGTGTGTTGTGATTGACTAAACCACCTCTAGTGCGCATGTGCTCCGGTTGTATTGTAAACAACGGCGTCGTTAATATCGCTTATCAGTTTGAGCCCGATTGAGAAGCAGAGGATATTATTGAAGAGGATCGTGCAGAACTTGTGCAAGCACGGCTTTTAATGGTAGACCTATGTTTTTTGTTTGTTATTGTCTCATACTTTTAGATATGCGGTTATTTGTAAATGCTAATGCTTATGTTAGCTTTAATATGCGATTTTATTCTGATTAAAGCTTTAATACAGTCCGGCAACTGCACGCGCGCGTCCATGTTTAACGCTTCTCATAGCTATATGAAAATGTGTATAATTGGAACAGTTCATTGCTGGAGGTGAGCTGAATGAGAGAAAGAGAGAGAGAGAAAGAGAGAGAGATGCAGAGTGTTTGCAGAGCAGGGGGACACGAGGAACAGTATAACAGGTTAAGAACCACTGCTTTAGAACATTGATTTTGAAACTTGTGAATCCATTAGAATCGTTAGATTTTTACGTGCACCCCTAGTTTTTGCTTCCTCTTCTCTAAAGCAGTGCAGCATGGCCTCGCCCCCTTTGCTGCCTTTTCCCGAGGGCAGGGTTTATCTGGGTTTGTGATGTCACGCACCCGGGAAGTAACTTGTTGTAGTCCCTACCAGCCGTTTTTGTAGGCATTAAACCGCCAGAATTTTAAAAGACGATATCTCCCGTTTGCATTGAACTTTCAGCTTCGTAACTTTGCAGATATCGTTTATGCTCAAACAGCAACATTACACACTAACTAACGTTAAAAAATTAAAATCGCAATCAACCACCCCTTTAAGTACAAATGTTTCCTGCTAGCATCACTGTACATGAGAAATGAAACGTAGTTTCTTGCGTCTCACTGGATTCCTTGAAAGCATCTGCGCTTACAGCTTTTTACTACAGACAGTAAGAAAGTCATCATCACTGTTATGCGGTTAATTAAAATGCTTCACTGACGTCATCATGGTCACTATTCTTTAGTTGCTGCTCACCATACTCTGAATGCATATTGTATTAAAAAATTTTACATTTAAAATGTTATTTATATATTTTCTTTGTGTATGTGTGTGTGTGTGTGTGTGTGTGTGTGTGTATATGGTTATATATATATATATATATATAAAATAATTCACTTATATTTGGTTTTGAGTTTATTTTTAAATTAATTATTAGACATCATGTGAAAATAACTATCTACAGAAAATCGGACCGAGTTTTTATATCTGTATTTTATTTTTATATCTAAAAATAAATGAGTATAGGAGAATTTTTCTCCCTTTTTCTTTAAGGTGAACTTCCCCTTTAAGCAATCACTTGATGAAATGTAATGAAATAGACTGTTGACTGCAAGCAGCTGGACTTGCAGGAAAGGTTTGATTAATGACTCTCTGTTCTAGTATCTGCTCTTAAGTTTTGGCTCACACGTCACACCTATGCTTTTTTGTAAAAGCAATAACACTTAAGTTAGGCATGTCAATTGAGGTTATATAATATATGAACAGAGTTTCAAAAGATTAAGTCATTCATATTAACCACAAAACGCCAAGGCCACTTCCCAGTTTGTCTGGTTCTGAAAGAAGGTTAAACAAAACAACCTGTACCTTCGATTCATGATAATTGTGTTCTGATCGCAGCATCATCGGAGAATGTAGGTGTGTATGAACTCATCATTTGAATGTGGTGTTCTAGGTATGGAATCAGGCCAGAGAACGTGATCATTTATGGCCAGAGCATCGGTACGGTCCCTTCAGTAGATCTGGCCTCTCGGTATGAGAGCGCTGCTGTCATCCTTCACTCCCCTCTGACCTCAGGCATGCGGGTGGCTTTTCCTGATACCAAGAAGACCTACTGCTTCGATGCATTCCCCAAGTGAGTCTCTCTTTTACCTTAGACTTGCCGTCTTTTCCTATTTTCTCATGTTTACCACAGTCACATTCTTTCCCCTAATTTGTATAGTACCTCATACCAATTAGAGACATACTGCTCGTTTCCACGTTTTGCTCTGAGCAGCCATGTTGCGGAGAAGGCGCCTGGCTGGTTCATCTGTTTTCTGCCCCTTTAGGCATTGTTGTTATTGTGTGCCCTCTAGTGACAAATATTTTCCAACAAGTATTTCAGTGTTTGTTTGTTTTATACCTGCACTACCTTTCAAAGGTTTTTAAAATAAATTAATACTTCAACAAGATTATTCAACAAGATGCATTAAATTGATAAAATCAAAAGTAACAAAGACTTTTATATTATTAAAAAAAAACCTCTTTTCAACATTGATAGTAATAAGAATTTTTTCTTGAGGGTTGTTCAATTCTACTGTGCCATCATAGGAATAAATTAGATTTTAAAATGTATTAAAATGGCAAACAATTATTTTAATAATAGTTTTACAATATTATTATTTTACTGTATTTTTGATTAAAAAAATTAAGCCTTGGTGAGCATAAAGGACTTCTTTCAAAAACAATTAAAGAATCTTAACAACAAACTTTTGAGCGGTAGCGTATGCATTATTATTATTACATTTTGCAGACTGCTGTAAATTTACAGTACAATATAAAAAGCAGATATATGCAATATCCAAATTATAATGAACCAAAACATTTGTACTTATTTTACTTTTTTTATTTGACCAGCCAGTAAGTCAGGTACAAATTTCATATAGATACTTAAGAAGGTAAAAGTCTTATGAAATAATTTAGAAACACAAAGAATGTTCAGCTGAAGAAAAATACTAGACATCCAAAAAAGCCCTTTCATTTACATTTACATTTACATTTAGTCATTTAGCAGACGCTTTTATCCAAAGCGACTTACAAATGAGGACAATAAAAGCAGTCAAAACTAACAAAAAAGCAACAATATATAAGTGCAAATGACAAGTCTCGGTTAGCCTAACACAGTACACGTAGCAAGGTGTATATATATACACATATATATTATACACACACACACACATATACACACAAACAAAGAAAAACAAGTAGATAGAATAGAAAACATAGAAAGCTAGTGTTTGTTTTTTTTTTGTTTTTTTTTAAAATAAAGAACAAAAAAAATGAAAAAGATAAATATAGATAAAGTAGAATTATAATAGAATAGAAAGTGCTAGAGTTAGAGGGTCAAATAAAGATGGAAGAGATGTGTTTTTAGGTCAACTGCACCTCCTGGGTTCAATGACCATTAAAGCATGGGGCTTTGAACATGAAGTTAAGAACACATGTGACCCATTCTTTTTAGGGTGGGGTAATGTTTAAAGACAAGGCACTTAAATGGATTCAAAGGATGAGAACAGAAAACAGGACAAGACAATAAAGATGTTTCTATATAGAGACTTTTTATAAAATGTCGTTTATTAATGTTGTTAAATGGTTATGGATGTTACAGTGAGAATTGGGCTACATATTGTCATCATGTAGTTAAAACCCTTTCCTGCTTCCTACAAGTGTCAATTCATGAACAAGTACGGAATCTAACAATGTTAGAAGTTATTTTGTTTAAAACTCCATATATAGCCTGCGTGTCATGCGCACACCCGAGGATCCCTATTGGACTACAGTGATGCTCACTCATAACTTTTGTATGAGGCAGACAAGTAGTGGTCTTCCTCTAGGGGTGGCATGGGGGCTCAGGAAGGCGAATCCTCCATTGAGTCGCATTCAATCAGCCCAGGAAAAAAAGCATGTAAAAGAAGATTAAAACACATTTAGTGCGGTCTCCCTGTCAAATAGCCCCTTGAGTTGCGTGCGGCTCTCTACGGTTGATAGAGAAAGGAGCGGACGAACCAAGCAAGTGATAGTGAAAAGAGATCGAAAGGTAAGAGATCTCCACCTCTGTCTCCCTGTATTAGGACCCCTACTTTAGACCTCTACTGTGAAGGTCTTTCAACGGATTTTCGGTCGTGCATTGTGCGTTTACGGAATCTTGGAAGATCCGAGTCGTGATTGAATGGAGGAATGAAGTTACGCGTGCAACTGAAGTTGATTAAACTTTGTGGCATTGTGTAAACTTTAGAGGGGGCGCGATGTAGCTATTCTATTGAAACAGTTTTTGAGCATAGCTGAAATTACAAATGATGCATTTAAATTTAAATATGGCAATTAAAAGTGTGTCATATTCTTATATTATAACATTTTCCTGTAGAAGAAAAATATAATCACTCACAGGGGCGGTTCTAGACCAAAGTAACTGGGGGGGCGGGGGACATACGTGACGTAGATACGTGACGTCACCGCGCTACAGTCTGCAGCGAGGGGTATCTCGATTCCTTACGTCCGAACGTTATTACGTAATAACGTGGTCCCTACACCTTAGCGTGGCATATTACTTGCTCTAAAACAGCCAAAAAACATAGGCAGGCATATTTTTCTATTTATTATGCGTTTTTCGATTTTTGAGCCACAATATATATATATATATATATAATGTATATTTACATGAACAATATTAAACTTCATTTACATTTCTCAGCATGCTGTTTTTAGCATATTTAATAAAAATGTCATTTATTAATAACAACTGTTCTAATAAATATTATAGCTACACTTTTCACCTCATCAATCTTCGTTTCACTGCTCAGGTCTTGGTTTCATATACAGTCTATGTTTCATTGCGCTTCCAAAACCGAGTCAGTTCCCGACCAGTTTGTTAATCGGTTCATTTCAAAGATCCGACTCACAAGAACGATTCGTTCACGAATCGGACATCACTAGACACAAGCAACACTTTTCACACGACAAGACCCCCTGTGTGCTTCTTCAGCACCGTATGCGACCATAAGCTTCACAATAAATTGAATTCATAGTTTCAAAAGCAGTTTAATTTGAAACTCCTCATCCTATCTCTTGAACGGTAAGCCCCGCCCACCCGAGAACCCCTTGTCGTCATGCTAATGGCTCTTCCACACGTTAATTCTGCTCCCTCATCCTCAATACACGCCCCTAATTTCACTTCCTCCGCGAGCCGCGCCTGGGACGGGGCTGGCTGACTTCAGCCCAGGAAAGAAAGCATGTAAAAGAAGATTAAAACACATTTACTGCGGTCTCCCTGTCAAATAGCCCCTTGAGTTGCGTGCGGCTCTCTACGGTTGATAGAGAAAGGAGCGGACGAACCAAGCAAGTGATAGTGAAAAGAGATCGAAAGGTAAGAGATCTCCACCTCTGTCTCCCTGTATTAGGACCCCTACTTTAGACCTCTACTGTGAAGGTCTTTCAACGGATTTTCGGTCGTGCATTGTGCGTTTACGGAATCTTGGAAGATCCGAGTCGTGATTGAATGGAGGAATGAAGTTACGCGTGCAACTGAAGTTGATGAAACTTTGTGGCATTGTGTAAACTTTAGAGGGGGCGCGATGTAGCTATTCTATTGAAACAGTTTTTGAGCATAGCTGAAATTACAAATGATGCATTTAAATTTAAATATGGCAATTAAAAGTGTGTCATATTCTTATATTATAACATTTTCCTGTAGAAGAAAAATATAATCACTCACAGGGGCGGTTCTAGACCAAAGTAACTGGGGGGGAGGGGGGGCAGACAGGGGCCGACAGGGGCCACTTGTGCTTTTAGGGGGCACAATTTGAAAATTAATCTTAGCCTACATTAAGTATTATTCATTGTCATTTTTCACCATGTCATGTATCACTACAATCTCTAGAAGTAATCTATAACCATTTCAAATAAAATGAATGGTTCATCATTGTTCTTTTTTTTTGACACATAATTTTGTATTGTAGTGTCAGGGGCATCATGCACTTATTATTTTTAAGGGGGCACGGGTGAGGGGAGATGGCGACGGACGGCTCTGCCCACTTTGAGCTTCAAAAACCTCTTCAGGAACCTACGGGTGACGTCACGGACACTACGTCCATGTTTTTATACAGTCTATGGTTATAATGCACAGTGCTATAAAAACGCATCTGTCTCTGGCTCGTTGCCAGCCAGTGAACTCAGATTTGAATTTAGCAGCTGGTGATGTTTTTCTTTTTTTATATATAGTTTACAGGACAAACTGCGCATTTCTTCCAAAATTGTTTGGTGTGATATGATTCCAAATTTAGGGGGGCCAAAGGGGAGGCCAAGCTTGTTGACAGGGGGACACTGGCCACCCCCTAGAACCGCCCCTGATCACCCAGCCCAAGCTTGTTTGCCGGTGTCGTGCCGAAAATTGATCGTCTGCCGAAAACTGATTGCTGTCCACGTCTTTCCATTTTACACTTGCCAAAAAGTGATTACAGACTCTACATATTGAGTGAACTGCTCTTTCTGCCTCAAAATGACTTGATTTCATTCATGGTTGTTATATTTGACAGATTATAGCTCATTCAGTGCAGTATAGCACGACACCGGTCTTAGCTGGTCTCCCAATTTAGACTTGTTTTTAAACACTTGTCAGCTGGTCAGGCTCGGACAACATCTGGCTGGCCATCTAGACCAGCTGAAGACTAGCTTGATTAGTTTGGGAGACCAACTTAGTCTGTTTTTTTTAAGGGTTTTGCATGCATCCGAGTCTTCTGTTTCGGCATTTGCAATGTAGGTCATGATGAGAAAGTGAATTAATTTTCGTAATTTAGTTTTCGTATCCATGAAAATGTTTCCCAAATAATCATCTGAACGTGTTTTAATTATTTTAAGTCTTATATTTATTTATCATTTTACTAGTAGACTACACAACCTCTCTGGGTGACTGCAAATAAAGCCTGTAAGTTTCTGTCCATAGCCTGCCATTGTCCATTCACCCCCTCAGACAAGGGAAATTCATAGCTCACCCCCCTTAAAAATGTGATTTAATTTGTTCGGGGGGGGTGAATGTCCTCCCCAGTTATAGTGATTGCTATGCCCCTGCATTTATGGCTGAGGAGCTGCAGATGGTCAGATCAGGATCTGGTGATATTGCAATCTTTGTATTGATCAAAGCAAGAATAAAATTAGTTTAATAGTATAATAGTAAATGAGCTGTGGTTCAACAGATGCTGGGGTCAGAGTGGTTGTTCTATTCTCCCCTAATGTTTAAAAGATTAGAAAAGTTTTTGTGATTGATTTTTGCCCTGGAGAATCTTGAGTTTATAAAATCATTTGTAACTGTTTGGTACAAATGAAGCCAACTCTCTCTGTGTGGAACTTCTAAGTCTCTTTTAATGA